ACATTGGAAAAAATTGCCCATACATTTGGAATATTTGCTCTTTTCGGTCTTTTTCCTCTCTTTCCAAAGCAAAAGGTTGTTCTTGAAAGCAAAGTTATATAGCACAAGTAAACTGCGTGACAAAACATCCTAACTGACCCGTAAATCTTCTGTTCTTTCGCTAACTAGTAGTTAGCGTGTTTTCGAGACTACGAAACCTAAGAAACCATAAGAGGCGAATGTATAGGCCAACAGATAGTATGAGCTTATAAAATCAGCAAAAATACGCGGTTTTAAATTTTAACAAATTCCTATGAATTATATACCAAAATGTTCAGGAAAGCCCGGGCTTTTCAAATCCACTTCTGTTTTTTTAACAGGTTCTGTTTTATATTAAGGAGAGACGATTTTCTAGCTTGACCCCGGTTATGTTATGCATTTTCGCTTGTAAAATACGTCCAATAGCGTACATTCAACTCAAAAAGTACGGTGGTTTTTTTCAATCTAAACCATGTAATAGAGTCCGTGAATAGTTGAATTAACTGAATCCACTTCTGTTTTTTGCCTAGATAGTCATTATTTTGAGAAAAGATCCAAAAACCGTGTTTTTGAGACATAATTTGTATGGGCTCACATGAGGGGGCGTGAGCTTGAAATCGTAGCTGACCAAATGTTAACAGATTTTTTCTGATGTTTAGGATTTGATTTTTGCGGAGGGAAGGAAAAAAAGGAGATCCCGGAGAAAAACCCTCGAAGCAGAGGAGAGAACCAACAAGCAACTCTACTCACTGTATACGGAGAGTCAGAGAATCGAACCCGGGTCGCATTGGATGGTGAGAGGCGAGCGCTCTCACCGCTACGCCACCCCGCATGCTCCCACTTCACGATTACCGTCCTTAACTCACCACGCTTCCAGGGATTCTCCAGACGCTTCAACAGTTTTCCTTCATCCCCCTTTAACGTTGAGCAGGCGAACCCCAGAATGATCAACAGCAGAAACAAATGAATCTTGGCATTCATTGCTGAACCTAAAACAACAGGTGAAGTTCAAATTCAACCACATGGAAATTAAAGCTAGGTGATATTTTGAATTAGTCCAGCTGAGATCCGTCATGTAGATCCCTTATTCTTATAAAATCCTGATCTTCACGCCACGGCTCACTCAAAGTTCACGGGCTGGATTTAAGAGGAGCAGGAAAACTGGAGAAAACGTTAACCACAAAGTCAAGGGAGTGACCCAGCAAACTGTTCTCAGTCACATAGGATGCATGCCGAGTAAAGAAATCAAATCCGAGACTCCAGAGATAAGAGAAAAGTAAATGGTATTCCGTGTGAACGGACTGTCAGGTACGTACAGTAGTCATGACTCACAAAGAATAGATTAAGAACTCAGGAATAGACGACCACACCTGTATGGATGATCGGGTTTCTAACGACAAGAACAAACAATTCTCCAGAAACAATCTAGAGCGTACCTTTTTCGAATAAGAACAAGTTGTCTTGATGTCAGTAAAGTCGTTCTTTCTTGCTCGAGTCTTGAAGTGCGATATCATAAAGTTTTCAAACTACTCCTAGTTATACCAGTTGTTGATCGATAATTTGCAATCTATTTTTACTTATGAATTTTTTGTATATTTATTCCATGTGCTAGGATACAAAAAAAGGCCCATTTTGTACTCAGACATCAATTATTTTTTATGGAAAAGCTTTCAAGCAGCTACAGCACGCATTTAAGGGAATTGTGGTAGGGGGGATCTGAGTGCCAAAAACCTTTTTTTAGTACTTTTGACTTCATAGATTTGTTTCTTTGTTTGAAAACTGAGATTTCAGTCCAACTGCAGTCTCTAATTCATTTGATGTGATTCAATATTGGCCGAAAGCTTTTTATAAGCATTTCTTTTTTGATCTTTCCCTGAATCTTTAAGTCTTTTTTTGTCGAAGAACCGGGAGTGGTTGATCAGTCTCCCGAACGAAATTCTCAAAGTACACTAGGATAGAACAAAGAAATAAACGACTCCACTAGCTCACAGTATTGACCACGTGTTCAGGGATTTAAGTCGGCATATTAACCACAGCGGTTAGAGGCGGCGTTTCGTTTACCCGTGCTTCAGCTCTTTACTCATAAACAACGTTTTATTGGAGGTTTTAAGCTGAGTTCTATGTCAAAAATTTAGTCACCATTTTGGTCCAATTTAGGCATTCCGATGTACCCCCTGAACCCCTTATAGATGACCCAGCCCCTTCCATTAAAGACTTGATCACAGGAAACTCACCCTGCGGCAAAAGTATATTCTGCACTGGCTATTTTTTTAATATATTGATAAACACTTGAGTTGGCATACCCAAATATTACACGTAAATAATAACGTAGCTAAGAACATAGGAATTATATTCAAACTTAGACTCTATTTTCATCTGAAAATGTTAAAGCAGTTTTATTACACATTAAGAGAGAATTCTTTTCGTATTCAAGCGGTGAGCATCAAAAACTATTTTCTTGAAGAAAGGCTGTTGTACAAGGCTAAAATCTTGTTATTCAGAAAGTTTAACTTGATTGGAAGTGGAGATGACCGATGAAAGTGGAATCAAAGTGTTAATTAACCCTAAGCAAAAATTTGAATCGAAAATGAGGTTTAGGCCTTCATTTGCTTATTTCCCATACATTTTCTTTTATAAAAGAGCCTCAAAAAGCTACATTCTAATACAAATGCAACAAAACATCTTTGTACAATTGAAAATACCGCTTCAAACAGGCATTTTATCATAGTACATCAGTTTCTAACTGTTTAAAAAAGGTTTTGATTGTTAACCCAAAACGAAAATTGGGATCAAAACACATACGAAGGTCTTGTGTTTGGCGGTTTTTGCCATCATTGCTCGTTATTGAAAAAAATTCCTCTTAACTTAAACATTTTATTCTAAAAAAAACGAAGCCTTCAGTAGAATTACGACAAAATCAATAACCCCTCCCCCCCCAAAAAAAACACTTTGTTTTTCCCCAAACGCTGACGTATTGAAGTGGAGAGAGCATCAGAAAAAGTGTTATTGTTATTGATTGCTTTTTAGAAAAACGACCTATAATAAGTACAATAACAAGATAAAGTTTAAAACTATTAGAAATTTCCAGCTGGAAAATTATGAAACTTTCTTATAGTTCGATATCAATATTAGAAAAATATACTGATAAATAAGGATAATAGTATTCCATTAAGCATTACTTCAAATGAGTGTTCTATAATAGTTATATTTACGGAGAGTGTCTAAAATATTTTTCTCTGAATTGTTTCTTTGTTTGAAAACTGAGATTTCAATCATTTGACTGTGATTCAATATTGGCCGGGAGCTTTTCATAAGCATTTCTTTTTTTGATCTTTCCCTGAATCTTGATGGTTGCTCAGTCTCCCGAACGAAATTCTCAAAGTAAACTAGGATAGAACAAAGAAATAAACGACTCCACTAGCTCACATAATGACCGCGTGTTTAAGTCGGCATATTAACCACAGCGGTTAGAGGCGGCGTTTCGTTTACCCGTGCTTCAGCTCTTTACGCATAAACAACGTTTTATTGGAGGTTTTAAGGTTACTGGAGACCTTCAGGGGTATGTTTCTCTTAAACTCTCTCTACGCAACACGTTCAACAAAACCCCGCCCTAATGCTATATATCGTTTTATAGGTCATATGAAAAAGATTTCGAAAATAATAGTATTTCAAAGTGATTTTCTAATTTGAAACAATGTCGAGCCTTAAACACAAATCGGGCACGTTCCGTAGAGGTGTGTTAATGAAAATAGCGTTAGTGCGTATAGCCAAAAGAACCTCACTATGTGAATAAGTAAAAGATAATCTACAAAAGAGTGTGAGCGATTTTTGATATTTTGCTTCTTTACAAAATTTAGTTGAACCTTAGAGTTGGAACATCGAAAAATTTCAATGCCGGTTAATGTTTTACCGCATAAAAGACGAAATACTCAAAATATCAAAAAATGCTCACACCCTTTTGTAGATTATCTTTTAATAATTATTAAATTATTAAAACATACAGGTAGCTGAGACTGGAGACTGGACTGATATATAGAGGATATCACAGGCGCGCGGAGATACGAAATTTATCTTCGAGTGTTGAAAAGATCTCTCACAAGTGAGCGCAGCGAACGAGTGAGAGATTTTCAACACGAGAAGATAAAATTCGTATCTCCAAGCGGCCATGTAATATTCTGTTTATTATATAATTATCAATGAAGTATGTTTTGGCTTTTTCAGGCAATTCTTTCCGTGTATTTTTGAATAGCCATCGCAATGGTGTTATTTTCACACGTGAAAATAACATGTTATTTTCACGTGTGAAGATATCAATTTTTCGAAATAGAGACGAATAGATATTTCATCGGTAATTATATAATAAAATAAAGTCTTTGATACGTTGTTAGCTTCGGATCAAAATAATACAAAGACTGCAGAAAATACAAATCCCATCCGAAACGACGTCGCGAAACAGTTTCATTATTCACAGGCAGCCCAAACAAGGTTCCTGTGTATGGTTTATAAGGGAATGTATGGGAGTTATGATAAAGTTACGAAAATAAAATGTTTCACTCAACAATTTGCCTCAAAACTTGCTGCAGTTGTTGCTTTTACTTTGTTCAGTCTTCTGGCGAAGTTTCAGCGCGATTTGAGGCCGTTTAGTGGGTTTTTTGAAAATTCGCCCTTCTCTGCCTAAATAATGGGAAGGCTGGAGACGATATCGACTACATCACGCTAGAAAAAAAAAAAAAAAAAAAAAAAAAAAAAAACCCCTCCCCCCCCTTAAAAAAAAAAAAAAAAAAAAAAAAAGAAAAGCTCTCTCTCTCCCCTTGAACCGCAATAAAAATGCAACATGTCAAAGGAACRATAATTTCTCTATCATAACATGTATTCTGAATGCCACCACGCCAGATATTTCCAGAAAAATCCTGGCTTAAAGTCCAATATTTGATTTCTTCTACAGCGTGTGATCGATGGTGTTCAAACGGCCGTTGTAAAGCGTGAGCGGGTCACGTTACATACAGCATTCTGATTGGCAACGGCCGTTTGAACACCATCGATTGGGGGAAAAGGAATTGGAATGTATTAAGAACTAATAATCAGTTTTTTAAACGGTTCTCTTTTATGAGACATTAGAATAGCGATCTGTCAATCTATGCCATTCCATTAGTTCTTTATTTTCACTGTATACGTACTCTTTGTTGAGGGAATAACAAAATCATTTCTGAATCATTTCATTCAGGCCAGACTTCTGGGTTTTTGGCGGTTGCTGCCAACTATAATACATCCCAGTTGTTCAAAGCCCGATTAGTGCTAATCCTGGGTTAACTCTTAATAAGACCTATAGAGTTAATCCTGGATTAGCGCTAATCCAGCCGTTGAACAACCCGGCCCCTGGAGGCCGCCTTTAATCCTTATACTATTTTTCTGCGTTAAATGATTATAACTATATATAGGGTCTATATACAAATAAGTTGTGAAGATTCCTTAGTATAGACCACGCAAAAATCAGTTCAAAATCGTCAAAAATTTTAAAATATAAATAATAAGGAATAAACTATATGTTCAGGGTTTACTTCAGCAGATTTCTAGCCGTTTAACAGCTCAGAAACACTTCAAAATTCTTCCTAATTGATAACATACTTTATTTATTCTAAACACGGTTGTTGAAGACTTTAAAATTCAATTTTCATCGATAGGTATAGTTGGGCTACCTGTCTCTCTATCTCCACTTTTGTTCAGTCTTACATTAGCCTGTGTAGCGGCCTGTTTTTTTTGGTAGGAGTGGGGATTGGGGACGAGGAGGGGAGGGGAGGGGAAGGGGAAAGGGAAAGGGAAAGGAAAGAGTATACATCAGTTCTGTTGCTCGCATGTATCTCAGTTTTAACAAAAAAATATCCTGGCAACCGCGTTATCGAAATCAAAACTGTTGGTAAAACCTGTACCTGCCTCCTTGTCAGCCTAAAAGCTTTTTGGTCGTGTTGATCAGAAAAACCCGCAATTAATAAACTAATATAGCTATGATGTTAAGAAACTGTTTGTTTGTTTGTTGTTGTTTTTTTTTTTTTTTTTTTTTTTTTT